CATGCGTGCCCCAGATCCCAAGAGGAGAATGGAGGAGAAGGGATGGTAGCATGGCCGTCCCTCTGAGGGTAATTTCTCACTTTCCCTCTCTTTCTTTGGAGAGTGCATGTACCCTATGGCTGAAAGGGGAAAAAAAAGGAAACTGAAAACAAACCAAAACCCAGTATGGTTGTTTAAGCCTCATAGTTTACTATAGGCCAGGAGCCCAGGCATGACATGGCTAGATCTTCTATTTCAGGGGCCCTCGTGAGCTGCAGTCAAAGGGTCATCCGGGGCTACGGTCCTCTGGGAGGTGGCACTACTCGTGTTTGATGTCATGGTCCAGGTCATTCGATGTCTTCATCAAAGTGGCCCAGCAGGAGGGCAAGAGGAAACCACAGTCTTCTAAATACTCTCTAAAGTGACGTCCCATTCTGGGCTTTGTGTTATTTCTTAGACTCACTCACTCTGTCTGGGGCACGGTCAAGGGAAGTGGATTACCACAAGGCCAGAGATACTTAAAGTGAAGATGATTAGGAGTCTTTTCAAATGCTCCTTGGCAGTCCAGAAGTGTGGATGACTATGCTTTGGGCAGTGGTTCCCAACCTTTTTGACACTAGGGACTGCTTTTGTGGAAGACAATTTTTCTACGGATGGAAACATTTTCCACGGAGGAGAGGTGGAAAGTGGCTTCAGGATGTTTGAAGTGCATTACTTTTTCTTAGAAAAATAATTATTTTATTTAGCTTTATTTATTTATTTTAATTTGATCAGAGAGGGACAGAGAGGGAGAGGGGTGAGAGGAAAGTGAGAAAGCAGGCCGCCAGGTCCAGGACTCAAACTGTAGTTGGCCATGTGGGAGTCCAGCACCCTCCGTGTGCAGTTCACAGTAGAGTGTGTGCTCCTGTGAGGGTCTGCTGCCACTGCTGATCTGACCGCAGGCAGAGTTCAGGCTCACTTAGTGATGGGGAGAGGCTGTAAATACACATGAAGCTTTGCTGACTGTTGGGGACCCCTGCTTTGGAGGAATGGGAGAAATGCTAGGTTCTCTGTAAGCTCTGGAGATTTTTAAGAACTTACACTAAGTTTGTTTGTGTCTTTGCCTATATATCTAGGTGTTCAATATTTTGCTTTCTGTTTGCAGAGCACCTTCCCTGTTTGTAGAGCAATGAGCATGCCACCTCCTTGCCCTCCTACCTCCTTTCTCTTTATCTCTTCTGAGCCCACCTTTACAGCCTACAGCCTGTGCTGTTTTTAATTGATAGCAGTCACATGATCTTTTCACCACCCTTCCCTTAAGCATATGGATTCTAGTACTTTCTGGGCTGCTCCTTGTAGCTGTTTAGGATTTTTATTGATATTGGTTACTTTTTTTAAAAAATGATTTTATTTAACTTTGTTTTAATTTGACCAGAGAGGGAGGGAGGGAGGGAGGGAGGAGGGGAAAGGAGAGAGAGAGAGAGAAAGGGAGAAAGCAAGCCACCAGGTCCAGGACTCAAATTGCGGTTGGCTATGTGGGAATCCAGTGCCTTAACCACCACGCCACCTGTCGGCCCCTATATTGGTTATTAAGGTGGGAGAAGCGGCTGCTGCTTGATGTCTGAACTTGGGACTTGACTTTTACTGTGGCGGAGTGGAATTGCTGTTTTTAGCACCTCGCTTCGTGTTTGTTGTATTGTTTCTTTTTGAGAGAACTTAGCCCAGGAGCAGCGATGATCCTGTGTCCACCAGACTCACCATCAAGTTTCAGTGAAAGGTGACAGAGTCCTTTTGGAAGCCTTGAATTCGAAGGCTGCTGCATTCAGTAAGCGCTGTGACAACAGGAGCAGACTATGTTTGTGGATCTCCATACGCAGCTGCTCTGGTACTTTCAGAAGCTGTTGCCTGACATTTGAATAAAGATAATCTAAGTTTCTCAGGCAAGGGATGAACATTTTACAGATGATAGGACAAGGGTGGTGTTTGAGCCCCCTTGCTCTTTTTCTATTACGCTGTGGAGCATGAAGTTCCCAACGGGGAGTGACCCGCCTGTGCTCTGCCGCGCTGGCGCACTCCTGCCCGCTCTCCCTGTCCTCACGTATGGGGCAGGGTCGGGGTCTTAGCTGGGAAGGGGACAGGCAGTGGGAAGGAATTCTGTCAATCTCAGAGGGAATTTTTTTGGGGGGGATTGCCATAGTGTGCGTATACTTGAGGGAGAGAGGGATGGCCGGGGGAAAGCCACGCCACGGTCCTTTCTCTCCTCTTCTCCTGGGATTTTAGGCACACTCACACACATGCATCCCACACGATTTTTAGGCCGCCAAGTCCAGGACTTGAAACAACCATGATTAGCCATGTGGGAGTCTAATACCTTAGTGACCATGCCACCTTCTGGCCTCCAGAGAGGGCACTTTTTTTTTTTTTTTTTGGAGAGGTTTTCGCTATAGGGCGCGTGCGCTCGCCAGACAGAGAGAGACAGAGAGACAGAAAGCGAGAAATCCCCCCCCGGCGGGATGATCACGCCGCAATCCCTTCTCCTCCATTCTCCTCTTGGGATCTTGGGCACGCACGCACACGCGCCCGGCGTGTGATTTAAGCCGCTGGGACCGAGACGCGAACCACGGTCGACTACGGGGGAGTCCAGCGACATAGCCATTACACTAACTGCTGGTTCCCCAGAGAGGGCACTTTTGAGACTAAAAGGAGAAAAAGAAGTTTAACCACAAGCAGTCTTGAATCACCTCTTGCTTAGTTTACATTGAATTTCAAGGTTTCTTTACCTGGGGTGGTTTATCGAGAACCTGCTGTGTGGCAGGACTTGTGCCAGCTCCTGAACAGCAGTACCTCCAGTCATCACAGCATCCTGGGAAATAGTTCCTTCATCAGTAAAAGGAATGCGGTGGGAGGCCAGCAGGTGGCATGGTGGTCGAGGTGCTGGACGCTCCCACATGACTGACCACGGTTCAAGTCCTGGACCTGGTGTCTTGCTTTCTCACTTTCCCTCTCTCTCTCTTTGTGTGTGTCTCTCTCCGGTCAAATTGAAAAATGAATGAATGACTAAATAAAAACTATATCTTTTTATTTTATTTTATTTTTTAAATTTTTTTTTTTAAGGAATGGTGTGGGGCCAGCAGGTGGTGTGATTAAGGTGCTAGACTCCCACATGGATGACCATGTGGTTGAGTCCTGGACCCAGCAGCTTGAAAAACATACTGGACACATGTGCATGCATGCCCAAAATCCCTAGAGGAGAATAGAGGAGAAGGGATTGAGGTGTGGTCATCCCCGGGGCGGAGCGAGTTCTCATTTTCTCTGTCTCTCTGGTGAGCACACATGCCGTTTGGTAAAAGATGTAAAAGGAAAAAAAAAGACTGAGGCCCAGGCAGTTCAGTAATGTCCCCAAGGGCCCAGCACAGAGCTTCCCGACTGCCGTGGAGCTGCGAGCTGGGCGTGCTCCCCCATTCCCTTAGGTTGTCGGCCCGAGAGGCACTCCAGGAATTGACTGTCGTTTGTAACTGCTAATGTCGGAGGAGATTTGGGTGTCTGCGCAAGCAGATGTCAGAGCAGAGCGTGCCTTTCGCTATGCTCTTGTTTGATGAGAAAATACCGTGGGAGCCTGACGGGAGAGGTGTGGGGCACAGCTTTGGTTTGGGAAGTACCGAGTCCTGAGCTAGGTCTGTTGCTGCCTCAGAGCAACCCGCAGCTGCTGGGGAGCCAGGAGTGGTCAGTCATTTCAGTGCGGGCAGGTGAGGTGGTTGCCCCAGCACCATTGGGTTATGGGTTATGACTTGGAAAGTTAGACTTGTCTCAAGGCGGAGAGCAAGTGTTTTTTGGTTTTTGTTCTGTTTCCCAGAGAAATCCACCTCCCCTGGTGTGCCTTTCTATGCCTTGAGAGATGGTTAAATGTTAAGTAAGGTCTTAAACCTTTTACTTTTGTGCCTGTAATAGCAGTTGAAGAACAGGAGAATAAGAGGAGACATTTTAGTGAGTCAGTTGGTGACTTGCTAATGTATGAAGAGTTCCAGTGGGTTCTACCTGTGCCCTCGCTCTCATGCTCTCTCTCATTTGCTGGTACGCACATGCACTCTCCAGAGAGTGGAAGGTGAGAAGTCACCCCCAGAGGGGATGGCCACACTGCAGTCCCCTCTCCATTGTCCTCTTGGGGGTTTTGGGCACGTACACCACATGCTCAGCTTGTTTTCAGGCTGCCAGGTCCAGGATTCAAACCTCAGTCAGCCATGTGGGATCAAGCCGTCTTAACCTTCATGCCACCAGCTGGCCTGGAATTGAACTTTTTAACCCTGGTCACTGATGCTTTGGTCTTGCGCAAAACTGCTCTGTGTTTTGTTTGAAGGGTGCTTTGCCTGTCTTTAGCTGAAGCTAGTTTAAAGTTCTCATGTGGGTTTAGGGCCAGTGTCATGTATTTCTGTAATGTGTGGAGTCACTTCCCTGGCATCTCCAAGTGCTGTTAAGGAAACAGGTTAGGGGATTCTTAGTTCCTTTCTTGTAATGGGGGAATAGCTTTTCTGTCTTTCCGAAGGCTGGACTAGGTTAATACTGTGGTTGGGGACTATTTTGGGTAACAGAATCTGTGCGTGTCAAGGGAGTGAACTTGGCCTCCAGCATTCCATGTCTGAAGCCCATAGCTGGTTCACAGGGGAGTGATTTGGTCAGTTAGGACACAGATGGGCAGGGAGACTGTGACGGCTCCAGGTCCTTTGTTTTCAGGAAGAGCCCTCTTAGTAAGCAGTTCATGAACAGGCTGTTAGTACCCTTCTCTCCCGTAAAAACCCTGATGGGTTAAGTGAACAGCCCTAGATGTTTAAAGCTGAGACGCTATTGTGATCTGGTTAGTGTCCCCCCACCCTGCCCCAGGCCAGCCACTGACTTTTACCCCGTGTGTGTGGAGTGCTCCGACCACAGCTTTGTTGTGGGGGCACTTTGATAATAAGCTCCAGTACCCTTGTCTAAAAGAAAGTGTTGACTGCTGTACTTTCATCCTTTATGAATTCTTTAAAGCATCTATTATTTTTAATTTGCAGCAGCTCTTGCCAGGTAAAAAGTTTTGGGAAACAGATGAATCCAGCAAAGATGGACCAAAAGGAATATTCCTGGGTGATCAATGGCGAGACAGTGCCTGGGGAGCATCAGGTAATCCAGACCGAGCGTCTGTACTGTGGTTTATGCCTGTCTTAGAGCGCCCTGCCTCCGCAGTCGGCGAGTCCTGACTTCCGTCAGCGACATGAGCATGTCGGCAATGTCCTGTTGTGTAGTATAACTGCCACTGAGGAGCTCACATGATGTGATTTATTAAAACGTAGTTAGACAAAATCACATTGCCAGTATTTCCTGAAGTGGTAGCCACAGGGTTAAGGTCTTAACCAAAATGACCGTAATTTCAACAATAACTTTGTTCTGTTGTCTGCGTACTTGAAATTAGAGAATCCATGCCTGCCACTTAAAACTCCTGTTTCTTTTTCTCCCCTTGCCCGTCTGCCATGCATGGGATGATGTGGCTGGGGCCAGCTCCAGTCGCTGGACACAGACATTCTCCTGACAAACCACCCCTGAAGAGGGACGGGGGAGCTCGCAGAGCACACACACCGACAGCAGAACGCAGTGGCAGGTGATAGGAGGGGACAGAAAGCCCAGTGGCTGGTGTGCTGTGTGCCGGCACCCCATGAACACGGAGCCGTGTGATGACAGGGAGGCATCAGACGGGACCAGATCATGCTGTTGTTTTAAAAAGGACAGTGAAATCATGCGTGTTTTAGTAATATTACCAGTAAAATGTATTAAAACGAAATTCCGCTACTGGAACGGGTTAAAAGTTAATATACTCACCTTGCTAGATCAGCCAGTTACGTGTATCTCTGTAGTCCTCTGCTAGCCTGGGCCAATGAAGGGTGTGTTTTGTTTCCTTAGCTGCTGTAGAAAGTCATCCCTAGTGAGGGACACGTTAGAGATTGTGGCTCAGCCGACCCAGGCGGTCCCAGGTTCCCGGTCACTGGTTTACCCATGAGCCATCACGGTAATGTGTTTGAGCCTCTGGCTGCACTGTATCATGCTTGTGTATCTTTTTTGTAGATCATTCAGTTTCCCAGCCAATCATGGTGCAGAGAAGACCTGGTCAGAGTTTCCATGTGAACAGTGAGGTCAATTCTGTACTGTCCCCACGGTCGGAGAGTGGGGGACTAGGCGTTAGCATGGTGGAGTATGTGTTGAGCTCATCCCCGGGCGATTCCTGTCTAAGAAAAGGAGGATTTGTAAGTTGGCTTGAGGAACTTGTTCCTATTTCTCTCTCTCTCTCTCTCTCTCTCTCTCTTGCTCTTTTTTTTTTCCCCTAAAGCAAAACATGCCTGTTTAGTTTCCTTAGATCTGCACAGCATTGATTACAGGGTATTTTTAAACACTCTTACCATAAATAGACGTAAGCTACACTTTTTAAAAATAGAGAAAGAATACTTTCAGGGGGACGCATTGATACTAATGTCAGGTAACTGTAGATCTCAGTTCATTGATCCACCAGAAAACACCATTTTTAGTTTAAAGCAAAACAAAACAGAGTTAAGCCAAGAAAGCTGAAGCTGGGCTGTCAATAGAGAGTTCCTGATCTGAGAGTAGGGACGTGCCAGTACCCAGGGAGGTCTCCCAGGGACCAGGTATTGCAGGTCACCTTGGGCTAGCCAGGCTGTCGTTAAGGAACCCCCTCGGCCCTCCTTGACAGCTTCGCTTTTCGCACCTGTCCTGCCAGAAGACTGCGTTGCTGCCCTTTACCTGCAGCCGGAGCGTGTGGTCTGAGTGTGACTGACTGCCGTGAGCTCTGACGCCGTGAAGCCCCTCTGTCTGCCTGCAGCCTCTTCTCCTGGGCTGGACGCCGTCTCCACAGCCCTTTCCCAACCACTGCTTTCTGTGGACCATGGACTTCCTACATCCAGAAGTTTGAAGCTGCATTTCATTTGAGACTTCCTCATTTTGTACCATGGGTTTTGATTTCGAGTCACTTCTGGGAAGGTTGTGAGAGAGACCTGGAAGTCTGTCGGGCCTCCTTTTCTCTGCCTCCAGGGAGGAAGAGAGCCCTTTGTTCCTGATGGCGCTCATTTAAGAGTCCTTCCTCTGAGTCCTGCTCCTGATTTGCTCCCCACCCCCACCTCACCCCTCGGTTGGAAAGCACACACCTGTTGCTAGGGAGCGGAGGTGGCGTCCTGGTCTCCTGTCCGCTCTCAGCCTCAGCGGGATGGTGGCTCCCGTCTGGCGCGTCTTCCTCAGGTGTCAAGTCCAGGTTTGGGTACTGGCCACCCGAAGCCAGCCTCAGTGCTGACTGGTCTCTCAGTCCTGCGGAGACTCAGGTTGGGGTTATTGGCTGGTGGATCAGATAGGAAATGGCTCTGTATTTGAACCTTCCTGAGGGACCACTTGGGGAGAACCTGATCTACCCTTTGGATGTGAGGAAGGGACCCAGGCCAGCTCTCGTTCACCCGTTGCCACATGGGAAGGTTGGCGTGGCACTTCTCTTTCCGCACACTTGCCCCAGCTGCCCCTTTCCCGTCTGCACACTCGTTCTCGTTTTGTGAGCACAGACCCTCAGAGGGAGTGCTGCCTTCCAAACACTGCCTGCAGCTCCCACCTGCTGGAGGAGGTCAGTGAGCGCCGTATGTTGTGAAGGCCAGCGTGGGGAGCCAGCGCCTCTGGGGCTTCGGCTGCGAACTCTGTCAGGGTCTTATTCTCGGCCACCAACCAGGCGCCGTGGGCCTGCATTCCTGGGACGTCTGGAAGAAGCAGCAAATAATTGGAACAGGAGAAAGCACAGTGGCCTGAAGGGTTATTTTTGCCCATTGTTCTCCTTTTTAAAGCATTCATTAGACAGTTGCTTTTATGACAAAAATCGTGTCTTTTAGGTATGATGACCCGTACTTGTTTTTGTTCAGGTGGGTTTCATCTTTAGTTGTCTTGGGAGACTTGGAGATTTTTCACTTTCGCAGTATTGTGGCCAGGGCTGTAGGACCTCAGGCTAGGCGAGGACAAAGAGCGGACTAGCAGATCTTCCGCTGAGCTGTGAGGGGGGTGTAAGGAGGACGGGGTGCCCCCAAACTGCGCCGTCTTCTCAGAAGGAAAGGTGTGGGCAGTTGACTGTTACCCCGTTCATTCCCTTTCTTTCCTTCTCTCTTTTCCGCTTCCTTTCCTTTTCCGTCCCTTCCCTTGTCTCTTCCCTATTTCCCTTTCCTTCCCTTGTTCTTTCCCTTGTTCTTTCCCTTCCCTTCCCTTCCCTTCCCTTCCCTTCCCTTCCCCCCTTTCTTCTCCCTTCTCCCTTCTCCCTCTTCGCTCTTTCCCCTTCTTCTCCCTTCTCCCTTCCCCTTTCCCCTTTCCCCCTTCCCTTCTTTAAATTTAAAGACAGAGTCCTGCTCTGTCAGAATCCTCCTTCCTCAGTCTCTGGAGTAACTGGGCTGCAGGTGTGCTTCCACCATGCCCAGCTCTTTCCAGCAGGGTCTTGCTAGGCTGCCCAGGCCTGTCTAAGCTTGTGATCCTCTGCCTCCGCCTCCCCTTCCAAGTAGCTGGAACTGCAGCTATGTGCTGCTGGACCTGACTTCTAACTGTATGGCAGGCTGGGGATTGCACTCGGGCCTCCTCCGTGATCTCAGCCTGTAGAATTTTACCGTATGCCACCGTGGCTGGGCCATTCCCATATTTTGATCTCATCTGCATCTGTAGAGGGATGTAGGAGGACGGGTCAGTCACACCAAGCCTCTGCGCTGACATGTTCAGTAGATACGAGTCACTCACAGGTAGGTATCTTGCCACTCTTCTACCCACCCTGGCTTTGCTGTGCCTTTTGCTTAGGTGATGCCTGGTCAAAGCTCTGCTCACGGAAACCTGAATCATTTTGTTTGTCATGGTATGCATGCATCTTCTTGAAAAAGGTGAACTTTTTTCCTTCTTAAAAATTGTTGTCTTGGGACCAGCCTTTAGCATAATGGCTATGTCACTGGACTCCCACGTAGTCGACTGTGGTTCGCGTGCTGGACCCGGTGGCTTAAACTCATGCCGGGCGCGTGTGTGTGCGTGCCCAAGATCCCAAGAGGAGAATGGAGGAGAAGGGATTGTGGCATGACCATCCCCCCTGGGGGGTGATTTCTCGCTTTCTGTCTTTCTGTCTCTCTCTGTCTGTCTGGCTAGCGCACGCACCCTATAGCAAAAACCTCTTCCAAAAAAAGGAAAAAAAATTCTTGTCTTTATGCAGAGTGTTGAGTGCAGAGAATAAGAAAGACAGTTTTGCTTCTTGTAAATAATTGTTCTAGAGAGCAGTATCAGGGCACCCAGATATTTATTTCATCCAACTTTTGGGTGGTGCACTCAGTCTCCAGCGGCCATCAAGGAGCTCCCTTCTAATCCCCTGTGGTGGCAGATCTCGAGGCATCCATCACAAGCCCACTCGCAGATACCGATCGAGAGGTGCAGACCTCGTTCCTCGCTCCATGCTGCTTACTGCATCGTCAGCGAGGCTTCTGTGTTCAGCTTTCATGAAGGTGTTTAATACCTTGTGTAGCTTCCCGGAGTCGTCCTGAGTACATTTTTTCTTGAAGTTTTTTGTTTGTTTTTTATTGCCAGAGAGTATATATGCTCCTCAGAGAGAGAGAGAGAGAGAGAATGAGAGCGAACGAGCGAGCGAGCGAGCATGAGCACTCCCTAGTGGGCATGGTCATGCTGCAGTCCTTCCTCCAGTTCTCCCGTACGTTAGGGTCTGGGGCATGCGCATGGTGCGTTTTTCTAGCTGCTGGGACTGGGATTCAGACTCCAGTGGGCTATGTGGGATCTGGGTCCCTTCACCTCCGAGCTGTGGGACTGGCCCTCGAGTTCGTTGTGAATGCAGCAGTGGCCTCTGTCCAGTAGTCTGATCTTCTGTAACAAGAATACTGCTTTCTGGCTGGCCGTCCTAGAACACCACTTTCTGGCTGGCTGTCCTAGAACACTGCTTTCTGGCTGACAATCCTAGCTCGCTCTCGTTGCCCACTGAACTTTCAGTAGTATCCCACACAGGAATGCTCGACTTCAGGGGGGCAGTTTTCAGAGTAGTAGGAAAACTCAGGATGCCAGTTATAGCTTTAATTATTTTTCTTTTATTTTTGTATCCTTTATTCTGTTTACTCCTGGGATGACAAGGTTTTTTGTCCCTCCCCCCCCCCCAAAAAAAAAATCAAACAATTCATGGTTTAAGCATGGTTACAAAATCAGGTGTATGTATTTCTGAGGATCTAGACCGAGGTCTCTTTGTTGGTCTGCTGGAATACCAGCTGATTTGCAGATAGAGTGAAGCCTAGCCAGTTAGAAAAGTAGACTGTAGTTCCCACTGTGCTGTGTAAGGGTCCAGAGATCGGTCTAACTGATGGAGACGCAGAAAAGACAACGACAATGCAACTGGAAAAGAGGCTTTTATTCTGTTTTCAGTTAACTGGGGTCTGAGTTTCTGCCCGTCGCAGTGGGCCTTCACAAGGACCCCGAGCCTAAGATAAAGGGATCTTTTATAGTTCAGGATTTTCCATAGAATGTAACACACACAAAGGAGGGGGTATGAGAAGCGAGGGTCCAGCTGTCACCACCTGCTCAGGTCTAGATAAAGACTCTCAGCTAAGGGTCTGGATGACTTTGCCTCAGAGGTGCTGGGCCTTCCCGTTTTCCACCTATCTGAGAGTTCCCAGACTCCTGGTTTCCGTCCTTGAGGCCCTAACAAAGTGGGCTCTGTCTTTGAAGACTTAACAGGGTTGCAATTAAGCTAACTTGGCCCAGCATTTCCTAACATGGCGGTGATTAAGCTAACTTGGCCCAGCATTTCCTAACATGGCGGTGATTAAGCTAACTTGGCCTAACAGCTGGATTGTGGAAACGAGGAGAATCAGAAGGCCATCTCAGACTTCGATTAGAGTGAAGAGCACCCTCACCTTGCAGAAGGAAAGTTCCAGGAGAGCCTCAGGAAGGCCTTTCTGCTGGCTCCGTCAAGAGCGGCTGCTCCCTGTCATGGAGGTGCACACCACTCCAGTGGTTCACGCGGACCGGTTTTCTAAGCTCCCCTGCATTGATTTTAGCTGATTTTAGTGCTACTGTGATAGATTTGTTTTTTAAACTTTGCATTGTAATGCCAGATAGAAGTCAGAGTTTGAGTGGCAACTCAGTCTCAATTTCCTCATCAGCAGACTGGGGATGATTCAACCCTGACAAAGTCGACTTCATGTGGCTGTGTGGTGTGAGATGCTGTCGAATCCCCGTCCTGCTC